TTCTTGTAACTGATATCATCTCATCTCATACAAAAGCCAGGGAGGAATTTGTGCAAGAGATTCTGTAATGTTTAACAAGTGCTGACCAGAGATAGAGTCACTTCCACATGTGACTTCCCCCTGACTTGTGCTTTAGTTTTATTGCAGCCTTCAAATCCTCTGTTTAAAGGGTATGTACACCCCAAAAATTAACTTCCCTTATTTCTGCCCTTTCATTCTGTTAAATATACCTCTGAAAGCGTGATATTTGTTAAAGAAGCCCAAATACAGAACTATTGATCTGCTAGAAAGCCAGAGAGCTCCCAACTTCTTGAAGTCTTTATCTCTGCTGTAATAAACTCAAAAGCCCTGTTTTCAATCCTGTCCAGTTCTCCTCTGAAATACAGAAAGCCTTTCCTAGCTGTCCAGTTCTCCTCTGCGTACTACAGAAAGCCTCCCCTCTCTGTCCAGTTCTCCTCTGCAAACCACAGAAAGCCTCCCCTCTCTGTCCAGTTCTCCTCTGCAAACTACACAAAGCCTCCCCTCTCTGTCCAGTTCTCCTCTGCAAACTACACAAAGCCTCCCCTCTCTGTCCAGTTCTCCTCTGCAATCTACACAAAGCCTCCCCTCTCTGTCCAGTTCTCCTCTGAAAACTACACAAAGCCTCCCCTCTGTCCAGTTCTCCTCGGCGAACTACGGAAAGCCTCCCCTCTGTCCAGTTCTCCTCTGCGAACTACAGAAAGCCTCTACTCTCTGTCCAGTTCTTCTCTGTGTACTGCAGAAAGCCTCCCTCTCTGTCCAGTTCTCCTCCGTGGACTACAGAAAACCTCTCTCTCTTCCTCTCTGGCCAGTTCTTCTCTTCTCTGCGAAATACAGAAAAAGCCTTTCCTATCTGTCCAGTTCTCCTTTGTGAACTACAGAAAGCCTCCCCTTTTGTCCAGTTCTCTTCTGTGAACTACAGAAAGCCTCCCATCTGTCCATTTCTCCTCTGTGAACTACAGAAAGCCTCCCCTCTCTGTCCATTTCTCCTCTGTGAACTACAGAAAGCCCCCCCCTCTCTGATAAGCTCCCTCACACTTTTCCGTTCTTGCTTGATGTGTTTTCATTGCAGTTAGTGGAAAGCCATCAAAACACATTGGGATTGAATCACTAAAACTGTAGACTGCAAAATGTGGTTCAGCTCTGCATAGAAACCAATCAGCTTCCAGGTTTTGTCAAAGCTTAAAGCGGAGCTCCAGTCACACTATAAATAAATAAAAGTCAGCATCTACAAAAACAATAGTTTCTGACTTTTAAAAACCAGCCACTCACCTGTCCCTCTATTCCGCGGTGTCCCCCGTAGCCCGTTTCACTGGCCGTCCAGTGTTCCTGGCGCCAGCATCTTCAATATGGGTACCTGGCTGTGAGAGCTTGCGGCTTCAATGCCCAAGTACAAGTAGCGCTGTGCTTTCTGAATGGTCCCGGGACTATGGGGAGGGAGGACAACTTCCGTTTCCGATCACCTAGGCCAGGGGTAGGCAACCTGCGGCTCTCCAGCTGTTGCAGGACTACAAGTTCCATCATGCCTCTGCAAGTCATGGCTGTAACTGTCAGTTTTGTAATGTTGCAATACCTCATGGGAAATGTAGTTCCACAACAGCTAGACAGCTGTTGTTGCCTACCCCTGACCTAGGCGATCGCAGTGGGTACCCAAAATTGACAGGTACCCACTCCCCAAAGGTGCCAATACATCAAAGTGGAACTTCCCCCTTTTAGGTGGAGCTCCGCTTTTATTGAACAAGCTGAAGTTAGAAGCCTATTGGCTATCATGGACAACTGCACCAGATTTCGCACTCTTCAGTTTTAGTAAATCTACCCCATGATGTCAACATGCATTGATGTGCATTATGACATATTTTAACATTCAATACAAAGTCCATTGCAACATGCATTAAAAACACAACATGTTTTGATGCATTTTTATTGATCTCAATAGAAAATGCATCAGCAGGAATAACGCATAGGTGTGAATATGACACACATAAATACAGGAGGCAAAACAGATGATGTTTCATTTACAAATAAAGCTTAGTGAAGTTAAAAAAAAAAAAAAAAAAGTATTGCAACGTATGTAAAAATGCAATGCAATCCATTTACGTGTGCGCAATGCACACATTGCAATATGAATGGATCCCATGCATGCTTGTGCAGTTTATTATGTCCCACCTGACAACACTGAACAAGAGGATTGCCATTCTTTTCTAAGGGGGAACAGTCACACTTGTGTGCTATGTGTTGGGGGAATACTACACATGCTTCTTTGGTGCAGCAATCTGCACTTTTGGAACCATAGGCAACAATGGCAGTGCCTGGAAAATTCAGGAAAAACACACACAAAAGAAAAAAAAACACACATGAAAACACAAATGCAAAAGGTGGAAGCATAGTGTGTGTGTGTGTGTGTGTGTGTATATATATTATATACACACACACCAAAAAAAAAAGAAAACACACAGATACAAAAAGGTGGAAGCATACAGGGTATATATATTTACACACAAACAAAAACAAAAAGCAGCAAACAAATAGCAATAAAAAAAAAAAAAAAAAAAAGTGAAAACAGATACAAAAAGGTGGGAGCATACAGGGTATATTTACGCACACAACGCAAAAAAAAAAAAAAAAAACAACTCATAAAAACACAGATACAAAAAGGTGGGAGTTTACAGGGTATATATATATATATATATATATATATATATATATATATTTATACTCACACACAAACAAAACATAAAGCAACAAACAAAAACACAGATACAAAAAGGTGGAAGCATACAGGGTATTATTTATACACACACACACAACACAAATAGGAACAAAAAAAAAAAAAAACCACACATGAAAACACAGATACAAAAAGGTGGGAGTTTACAGAGTACAGTTGTGACCAAAATTATTCAACCCCCACTGAAATTGAGTGTTTTGGCCAGTTTGACATTGCTTTTGATCATTCAGTCATCTTGCTTACATTTACATTAAAGAGGCACTTGTAGGTCAGACAAATATAACATAACAGTTATAATGAAATAACCACAAATGTCTTTTCTGTGCTCACAGCATTATCAGTTTTATTCAACCCCAAGTGACATTCAATCTTAGTACTTAGTACAGCATCCTTTTACAGTTATAACAGCTTTTAAACGTGAAGCATAGCTTGACACAAGTGTCTTGCAGCGATCTACGGGTATCTTCGCCCATTCTTCATGGGCAAAGGCCTCCAGTTCAGTCACATTCTTAGGCTTGCGCACTGCAACTGCTTTCTTTAAGTCCCACCAGAGGTTCTCAATCGGATTTAAGTCTGGTGACTGCGATGGCCACTCCAAAATGTTCCAGCCTTTCCTCTGCAACCATGCTCTAGTGGACTTGGAGGTATGCTTGGGATCATTGTCCTGTTGAAAGGTCCAACGTCTCCCAAGCCTCAGGTGTGTGACGGACTGCATCACGTTTCCATCCAATATCTCCTGGTACTGAAGAGAATTCATGGTACCTTGCACACGCTGAAGCTTCCCTGTACCTGCAGAAGCAAAACAGCCCCAAAGCATGATTGACCCTCCACCATGCTTCACAGTAGGCAAGGTGTTCTTTTCATCATAGGCCTTGTTCTTCCTCCTCCAAACATAGCGTTGATCCATGGGCCCAAACAGTTCTAATTTTGTTTCATCAGTCCACAGAACACTATCCCACAACTTTTGTGGTTTGTCCACATGGCTTTTGGCATACTGCAGTCGACTCTTCTTATTCTTTGGAGACAGCAAGGGGGTACGCCTGGGAGTTCTGGCACGGAGGCCTTCATTACGCAGTGTGCGTCTTATTGTCTGGGCTGAAACTTCTGTACCCACATCTGACAAATCTTTTCTCAGTTCCTCAGCAGTCACACGGGGACTTCTCTCCACTCTACGCTTCAGGTAGCGCACAGCAGTCGAAGTCAGCATCTTCTTTCTGCCACGACCAGGTAGCGTTTCAACAGTGCCCTTTGCCTTGAATTTGCGAATGATGCTTCCTAAGGTGTCTCTTGGTATGTTTAACATCTTTGCAATCTTCTTATAGCCATTGCCCTTCCTGTGAAGAGAAATCACCTCTTCTCTTGTCTTCCTGGACCATTCTCTTGCCTTCACCATGTTTGTAACCACACCAGTAAATGTCTAGAAGGAGCTGAGTATCACAGTCATTTTAAAGCTGCCTAATTGGTGCTTATTATGCTTGATTGCTGCTCGGTGACATCCACAGGTGTTTTCAATACCTGATGGAAAGCACCTGTATGAACCTCTGTTCTTCAGAGTGGTAGTCTTTAAGGGGTTGAATAATTGTGGCAATGAAGAAACCACATAAGAACCATTTACTACTGTATTACATAAACAATTGATGTCATTTTAGTTGCATTTGGGTAGTTACAACGTCCTTGTAGGATTTGATTCTGAATACAATTCCAAATGTACACTATAGTCCCTAAACCCCTTTACAGCATTGGGGGTTGAATAATTTTGGTCACAACTGTATATATATATTTATACATACACAAAACAAATAATAGCAGCAAACAAAAAAAAGCAAAACTGTTCCATCTTTGTAATGCTGGCCATACATGCTTACATTTTTTTTAAATCCACTTGATGTAATTTGATCAAAATGAATGAATCTGCAAACGATCGAATAGACAAAAACTTCACTCCCGATCAACTTAGTTTCAATTTCAATTGGATTTGATCAAAAGGAGTTGATCTGGCAGGGTGGAAAAATGATCGATCACATTGCATCAACAGTACCGAGATACTTTATACACAAATATGAACTACAATTCGATTGATCAGATAATGAGCATACATGGTGGGAATAGAGATATGATGGATAACTCATGATCATAAGTTACATGTGAAGTAGGGTGATTAGGATGTGCTGTTCAGGATACATATAAAAACACGCCTAAAACCATCCTAGGAAGCAAAACAACAAACCTAAAACCTGTAACTTTCTGTACTCACCCCCATCAGAGCCCCCCAGGAGGGGCAGCACCAGCAGCACACACACCAGCAGTCTAGCCATTCCACAAAGGAAACTGAAAACTTCCCACTCATAGTAGCATTGTCTGCAGATCACGAGTCAAGGGAAGTCACATGATCCCAAAACTTCTGATTGGCTGCACACTTTGTAGACTCAGCTTTGTGTTTTTGCTGGGGAAGCAGATGGCGTGTGACCGCAGCTCTGAGTAATCTGATACAAAGGCTACGCTCACCTTTTACAAGAAAAAAAAAAAAGTACATATAACTGCAGAAAAAATCCTACACTTAGGCTCCATGCACACTAAGCCCTGGTTCACACTGATGGAGTGCGGAATTTGCAGCATTTTCAGTGCGAATTCCGCAGCGCATCCGAATTGCACCCCGTTCATGCAAACCGCTGCGGGTGTGTATGTTAAGTTAACAACACTCCGAAATCGGTTGCAAAATTCGGTTCGATGTGCAGAATCGGATCGCATAGGTGTGAAACGCATGCGATCCGATTCTGGTGTGGATCCCAAAAAGGGTCCTGCACGTTTCTGGTGCGGGTGCGGTGCATGTAGAGTCATACAAAATGTAAGGCTCCAATCAAACCACGCACAAATTGCATGTGATTTGCACAGGAATGCGGTGCGTTTCCTGTGCGAATCACATGCGATATACCGCACCGCACATATGTGAACCCAGGGTCATGGTTTTTTATAAGCTCAAAAAACGCTGGAAAAAAATCTGGATGAAAAACGCTGATAATACATTTTCGTGCCAGCTTGTTATAGCGTTTTAGTTGCGTTTAGAAGACGTTTGTCACCTCATCCCTTTAAAACTAAACAAATAACCGGTTCTGATGTTAATTTAGGCTAGGTTATCAGTTTGCGTTTGATCCATTTCTGCAGTGCATTTTGCGTTTCTGGACATGCGTTTTTTATGCATTTTTTTGCCGCGTTTGTGATGCATTTTGCATTTTTTTTTTCAAATTTTTTGCTCTTTTTTTGTTTATAGCGCAAAAAAAAACACCCAGTGGCAATTAAATACCACCAAAAGGAAACTCTATTTGTGTGAAAAAAATGATAAAAATTTCATATGGGTACAGTGTTGCATGACCACACAATTGTCATTCAAAGTGCAACAGTGCTGAAAGCTGAAAATTGGCCTGGGCAGGAAGGGGGTGACAGTGCCCTGTAGGCAAGTGGTTAATGGTGGAGTTAGCCTTTAAAGGGGAATCTATGCTGGGAGAAATACGTGGGTGGCCCTGGCTTCAAAGTCTCGGTTCACACTACCACGACCAGGGGCGGACTGACCATTTGGAAACTCGGGCACTGCCCGAGGGCCCGGGGTCAGTAGGGGGCTCCATGAGATGCCCCTGGTACCTTTTTCATAGGCTTTTTTGAGTTTGGGGCAAGGACACAGGGGCCCCATGATCCCCTATTGCCCGGGGCCCCATGAGTTGTCAGTCCGCCCCTGACCACGACCTGCAGTGCAACTTTGCCAGGTGACTTGAGTACTACTTTGAAGCGACTTTGATGCAACTTTGAATGCCTGGGTAATCTTCCTATAATGTCAGATCCAAATCACATCAATATAGATGAGGATCCAACTTAGAGGCGACTTCCATTAAAGTCTATGGGCACAAGTCGGATAGAAGTCGCCTTGAAGTAGTACTGGAACCTTTTCTAAAGTCGGAGTGACTTCAGTAGCACTAATTAAGACAGCTCTCATTGACTAACATGGGATTATACATGTCATGCGACTTGGGGGTCTCACAAGTTGGATCCCAGGCCCCGACAGTGCAAACCAAGCCCAAGATGTAGTTGCTTGGCAGTGTTTGGCTTCAGTTGTTTCTAAGTCACAAAAAAAGTCAGCATGCCAAGTTAAACTTGCTGCAGCCACCATATGTGTAGGACCCCCTGCTAGCTGCATGTTATGTTCACAGTGGGTGGTCAAGGGGCAGTAAATCAACCTGGGGGGGGGGGGTCTAAAGGTTGCAGAAAAGTTTCCAAATGCTTTGAAGTTATCTTGCCACTGATTTCTATGTTATGGTTGTTATGTTGATGAGAGTGAGGTTATAGCACTTCTCAGAACAAATATGGAGAAAAGCGGTCAGTCCTTATCTTCCTACTTTTTTGTTGCCAAGGAATGAAAACATTGAAGAACAAAGGTCATCATGACAGACCGCCAACTAGCAGTTTTTTAAAGCCGAGGTCAATATTAGCCGTCTCCATGTCTTCATACCACTGGTTACAAATTAAAATGGAATTCAGATGCTTGTCCAATCCAGGAGCCCACTAGATATCTTTTAGGAGCCACCTCCATTGACAGCAAGAGGAAATCTCAGAAGTTAGAAGCCAGCTGTAATTTGTAAGGAGTATTGGTTACCTGGTTCTTAGGACTTGTTCAGCCCTGATTGCCATGATAGGTTTACTTCAACCCCTTCCAGCCCCCCCAGTGGTCATTTAATGTGTCTTTACTCCGGGGTGGGATGATCACTGTGATTGGCTGTCACATAATAGGAAGCACATCCTGCTGGGTTCCAATCATAAACAGAGAGGGGGAGCTGTCTGTGAATACTTGGCCACAAAAGGCACCTATGGCCTGGGGTTGCCTCCTCATCCCTTTAAAACCAAACACATATGAATTACGTGGGTTCTGAGGCTATTTTAACCTCCTCGGCGGTATGATTCTTTCCGATTTTTTGTGCTGAAAGCGGTACCATTTTTTTGTATGGAAATATGCAGTTTTTTATTGTAGGCTGTAATTTTTAGGAATAACTCACTGAAATCTGTACGAACAAGAGTCTATTAAACATCCTGGGTAGGATAAAATTTGAAACACGAAATCATAAATTATAATTTAATAAATAATCATAAAAAATAATAATAATATAATAATAAATTTAATTCAATAATATAATCAAACCAAAAACACTGAAATTTGAAATACAGAGGCAAATTCGCACATCGCTGAGCAAAGTCGCAAAATCGTTTTCAGTTTCTGATGACGAATTTCCCCACGAATCATTATCACTGAATTCTGCAAATGGTTTCTCATTTACTATCGCTGTTCTAAAACCGCTTTTGGCGTAAAGGGACGCTTTTTGGATGCCATGGACTTTTCTACGTTTCCAGGCAGAAAGAACATTCAAAATGCAGGCAGGGCACAGGACAAAGCAGTAGGGACAAAATATATGTGAAATGCATTGAAACAGCAATGACAGCAAAAATGTTATTTTTTAAAAATGTCAAATTTCCCGCCGGTTCCGGCGCCCGTACGTCCCGACGTCACAGGGACCGGAACATGGAAGCCGGATGCCGGCATCGGCCGGAGGAGATGGCCGGGGACGCTGCAGGGGACACATCACGGGAGCGAAGGACAAGGGACAAGTGCTGCAGGGACCCCCAGAGCAGCGCCGCATGGTAAGCCCAAGTGTAGCTCGGGGTTACCGCTCTTGGTATAGAAATTTTACCCCGAGCTACACTCGGGAATACCGCTAAGGAGGTTAATGCAGATAAGGCACTCAGTGAATTTATTTACCACCTTAATCAGCCACAGAACCTGTATAAATACTATGTGTTCGGTTTTAAAGGGATGTGGTGGCAACCCTACTATGGGCAGTGTGTGGGAGATAAGACCCACCCTCCTTGTAGCCGAACTAATGCATTATGTAATGGCAAGAAGTTCACTTACTCTTCGGTTTTTCCGTTGTGTGCATTTCTTGTGGCTTGTTGGCCTTGCCAGAGCCAGATCATTCACAAGCCATCCTAGGTGGGAGCTTGGGGTTGGTGAAAGTCCAGGTGGCCCAGCTTTTTAAACGAAGGGCCAGTTTACTGTCCTTCAGACTTTAGGGAGGGCAGACTGTGGCCAGTGGGAAAAGAAAACACCCTAGCACATATGGGAGTAATTTAGGAAAAGGGAACAAGGACTCTGATGGCATAGCATAATGAGGGCAGGGCCTCTGGTGTCATTGGGCAAAAAAAGGACAAAGACTCTAATGTCATAGTGGGAAATGGGGCAGGGCCTCTGGTGTCATAGCAGCAAAGGGGTTGAGGACTCTGATGTCATAGTGGCAAAGGGGGTGGGGCCTCTGATGTCATTGGGAAAAGGAAACAGGGACTCTGATGGCATAGCGTAAAGGGGGAAGGGCCTCTGGTGTCATAGGGAAAAAAAGGACAAGGACTCTAATGTCATAGTGGGAAAGGGGACAGGGACTCAAATGTCATAGCATAAAAGGAGGCAGAGCCTCTGATGGCACAGTGATAAAGGATTGGGTCTCTGATGGCATAGCTTCAAAGTGGGTGGGGCCTGTAATATCATAGCAGTAAAGGGCCTGATGATGTCATAGCGACAAAGGGTCGGGCCTCTGACATCATGGCGGGGAAGGGGGTGAGTCCCTGTCCCCTTTCCCACTAAGACATTAGATTCTCTGTTCCTATTTCCCTATCAGATGCCCTGACCCCCTTTGTCACTATGACATCAGAGGCCCCACCTCATTTGCGCTATGACATCAGAGGCCTCGTCCCCGTTACACCATGACAGGCCTCACTAAAACGTGGACCGGACCAAGCCACTATCCCGTCTGGACCTACGGTCACACCATTTAGGAGCAGCTTCTTTAACCCTGGCCTTCGCCATTGCTATTCTCAAGGCAGAGCGGGAGGCAGGATAGTAATGCACGGAGAATGATAACATGAGGACAGTTTCCTTCTCAAGCACACTGCAAAATTACAAATATTTGAGTGTGTTCCAGCCGGAACCACGACAGACTTTAGAAAAGTAATCCCCACCTATTCTGTGTCCCCTGAGTGGAGTTTCATCAAAATGACAACTTGTAGAAGCTCTTGGTCCCCTTAGTAAACAAAATACCAGCCCACCTGGCTACAGTATCTGATCCCAGGACAAGGGATTTGGTAAGCATTAGACTGTGCCCTGAAGACTTGCCAAGAACTTGCATCCAGCATCCTTATAGGCCATGGGTGTGTAGAGACACTGTCCTTGTCCTGCAGCTGTTAAAAGAAAAGCTTTCAGACCTTCCACTGGGTTGTTCCTTTTCCAGGCTTTGCA